TTTTTATCCTGTTTTTTTGGCTTAAATTTTGAAATAAATAAACCTTTTATTTTTTAATTTCTAATTTTTGTTCTACCTCTCTTTGTGTTTTGTTATCTTAGTGTTAGATTTTGAAAACACTAAATTTTGTATTTGTCATTTTTAATAATTTCTGTTTTAACCTGTTTTCTTAGTTTTAAATTTTGAAGACTATTTTTTTTTAATTTTAATTTCTGTTTTATTTTTTGTGTCCAGTGTTTTTGGTCTTGAATTTCAAAATCAATAAAACTTTTATTTTTTAAATTTTAATTTTTGTTTTATTTTTATGTGTCTCGTTTTCTTAGTCCTGAATTTTAAAGTCAATAAATTTTTATTTTTTGTGTCCTGTTCTTTTAGTTTTGACTTTTGAAAACAATCAATTTTTTAAATTCAAATTTTGAAAAAGCAGAATTTTTTTTAGCAGGACACCCGTTCCATCCCCATGCACCGACTGCATCCTTTCCGAGAGAGCACAAATGATCTGTTAGAAAAAGAGAGAATGATCAGTGGTTCGGTAACAGGTGTCGGTCCGGATCGATCCCACGCGCTTTTTGGCGCATGCTTGAGCGTCGCCACCCCGCTGCCAACGTCACGACGCCAGCACTTGCAACCAGGGAGTGGTGAGTCGCTACAACAAACCCTCAGTGCAACACAGTGAGCCTTCCAAGACTCCAGTGGCTGTGTTTGTGTGCAGTGATAGAAAAACGATGCGGTCGCGAGTCTAGCGCCCTCCCGATGAGGACTCCTCCTGCAGGTTGGTTACCTGTTGGCTAAGCCGGCGTGTTGCTACTGCTACTTGTTGCTATCACCTATCCTCCGCCATCACTCAACCACCTGCCGGTGCATTCCGGGACCTGCAACAGCAAGAGATCGATACGGCCGCACGATGCCGCGCTGCTACATGGTGAAGAAGCAAAGCAACAAGTACAAGGACTGCTGGGACGGGGCGGCTGTCTCAACTGCGGCGCCTGATAGCCCCACGGAGGGCTGCGTCGCGCCCCCGTACTACACCCCGCTCACCAGCAGCACAGGTAACTAACTGAATTATACAGCGTGGACACAAAGTAAGGGATATTTCGACGTCGATACATTTCGAACGACTTCGGCTAAACTCGGCCAAACGTGCGAAACACGACCGAAGCCTTGAATCTAGAATGCCTGGAATATTTAATAAGGTGCTCAATTGCCAAAAGCTACTAATCAAATGAATTCTTGTCAAAAATACAGTGGAACCTCGTTGAGTCGAATTTCGAAATATAGAATATTACATTTTACAATTTGTTTACAACCTGGACACAAAAATTAACTTCTTATGGCATAAAATACATAAATATAAAGATAAAGTACAATAAAAATTTAAAATTGCATATGGTGTATACATGAAAAACACAACATGAAAAAAATGTATAACAAATTCTTATTCTAAAAATTTTAACATTTATTTTTTGACATTGGACATTTTTTATATCTATTTATGCCACTGATAATCTTTTATATGTTTTTTTGTAATTATTTAATAAAGGTACAAAACAGGTAACAAACTGAATTATACAGCGTGGACACAAAAGTAAGGGATATTTTGACTTCGATATATTTCGAACGACTTCGCCTAAACTCGGCCAAACGTGGGAAACACGACCGAAGTCTTGAATCTAGAATGCCTGGAATATTTAATAAGGTGCTCAATTGCCAAAAGCTACTAATCAACAAGCCAGCAATCAAATGAATTCTTGTCTTCAAAATTCAAGACTAAGAAAACTGGACACAAAAAGTAATTAAAAAAATTTAAAATTTAGTGTTTTCAAAATCTAACACTAGAACACAGTACACAAACAGGTAAAACAAAAATTAGAATATAAAAAATAAAAGATTTATTGATTTTAAAATTCAAAACTGAAAAACAGAGGACACAAAAGAAGTAAAACAGAAATTAAAATTAAAAAAAAAAACAGTTTTTTAAAATTTAAAATTAAGAAAACAGGACACAAAAAAGATAAAACAAAAATTAGAATTTAGAAAATATTTTTTTTTGTTTTCAAAATTCAAAACTAAGAAAACAGAGTAAAACAAAAATTAGAATTTAAAAAATACACAATTAATTGTTTGCAGAATGTAACACAAGAAATGGTAAAACAGGAATTAAAATTTAAAAAATAAAAAAATCTAGTGTTTTCAATTGTAACATTAAAAAAACGAGACAAAAAGAGGTAAAAAGACAAGACACAAAAAAGTAAAACAGAAATTAGAATTTAAGAAAAATCAGTCTTTTCAAAATTCAAAACTAAGAAAACAGGATACAAAACATATAAAACAGCAATTAGAATTTAAAAAATAAAAGATTTATTGATTTCAAAATTCAAGCCTAAAAAAACGACATAAAAAAAGTAAAACAGAAATTAGGACAGGGCGGCTGTCTCTACAGCGGCGCCTGATAGCCCCACGGAGGGCTGCGTCGCGCCCCCATACTACACCCCGCTCACCAGCAGCACAGGTAACTAACTGAATTATATAGCGTGGACACAAATTAAGGGATATTTTGACATCGATACATTTCGAAAGACTTCGGGTAAACTCGGTCAAACGTGCAAAACACAGGCAGAATGCCTGGAATGTGCAATTGTAAAAGCTACTAATCAACAAGCAAGCAATCAAATGAATTGTCAAAAATACAGTGGAACCTCGTTATGTCTATTTATATTACTGATGATCTTGTATATGTTTTTTTTTTGTAATTATTTAGTAAAGGTACAAAAATTTTGCTAATAAAGATATCAAAATAACACTAAACGTAGTTACAATTTAGGATACAGTTTCCTTGTTTCTTCTTTTAATAGTCAGTAGTAAAAAAAACCTGGAAAATTATTTTTCCAACAGAAAGAAATAGAGCCAAAGTGCAAAATTTAAACTTTCATAACTTTGAAATTTTTATATTTACATTTTTTTCCATGTTGCTGTTATCTTACATGGGGCGCGAGTTCTGGCGCACTCTGTATAGTGTGTCTCCGGATAGATGAAACGACTCTTGTAGAAGATAAAAAAAATTGATTTAATTTTTTTTTGGGAGGGTGGTTCTGCTTGGTTAAAGATTAATTTTTATCATAAAATTTACAAAAAAACTATATTTTTCCAAAGTAAAGTGCTTTTTATGTATCAAAGAGGACACAAAGTTATAAAGAAAATTAGTTTAGAATTAACATTTAGCCCCATATACCAAATTTGAAAATCATTAGCCAACTACGATTTTTATTTTTTTTCTGAGGTAATTGCTTTTTATTATTTTACTGTAAAGTGCTTTTTATCTGTGAAATTCTTTCAAAAGTTATTAAATTGTTCAGAATCAACATCTAAGCCCTTATTCTAAAGTTCAAAATCATAGGCCAACTATGATTTTTCATATTTTTATGTTTATTTTACAAATCAAGAAATGCTATTTTTAACAGTTCTTTTATTGCACTTAGATTATTATTACTACTAAATGACTTTTTTACGTATCTGTTACTAAAAAGCATAACTTAGAAAAAAATTAAAAATCATAGTTGGCCGATGTTTTTGAAATTTGGTAGAGGAGCCTAGATGTTGATTTTAAACCACTTTTCTTAACATTCTTTTGTCATTTTTACTACATAGAAGCACTTTATTTACAAAAAATAATATATTTTTTTTAATTTCCAAGCGTACTTAATTTTTTCAAACCAAAATCATGTTAGAAATTAGTCTTTAACTGAACAGGACTGAATCATAAATAATTAAAATTTAAATCAAATTTTTTTAACTTTTACAGTCGTTTCACTTATTCGGGGACACACTGTATTTATGTATTTTATTCATTTGTTTTCGAGTTGACAGAATAAAAAACTTTTATTAAAAACTGTCTAATATGGTTTTTTCCTTTTTTTATAGAAAAACTATCATAAAACTTAAATTTTAAATAAAAAAATGAAGACACGTGTATACTGCAAAAATTAATCTAATGTGCATAATGTGAAATTGTGAAAACTTTAAAAAAATTTGACTTATGTTTTACAACTAAGGAGACCGGAAAATTAAAGAGGAAAATTACATTGATTTCTATTATAAATATTTGAGACCGGCCAATCACTTTGACTTATCAAAATTTAAAATATCAAGGTTCGAGTTATCGAGATTCTATTGTACTTGACAATGAATAAAAAAATTGAAACGTTTCCTGAAAATATTGCAAGTTTTAATGTTGATTATTATGTAAATAAAGGTGAACAAAGTTGAATAAAGTTTTTTTGACACAAAAAAAATGTTTTAGGTTCACATAAAAAATCTGAACTGTTATACTGGGTGTTTTTTAATATTGCAAAAAATGCAACTACATATTCTACATCGAAAGATAACACTAATTTGTCAATTAAACAATAGTCCTATAAGCTTTGTTACGCATATACAAGGTAATAAAGTATCATGATAAAAATCAAAATCCCTTAGTTCCTTCTAAACCACTTGAATCATTTTGAAATTTTAATCGCAAATTTGAACTAAATTTATTGCATTTTATGTTTAAAAAATATTTTTATGACTAAAAAAACACAAAAAAATGCTAAGTTTATTTAAGAAATCTTAATTATTATACAAAAATTGCTGCCACATTTTCTACATCAAAAAATAACACTAATCTGTCAAATAAACGATAGTCCTATAAAGCTTGGTTACGCATATACAAGGTGATAAAGTTTTATGGTAAAAATCCTTCAAAACCCCTTAAATCATTCTTATAAAATTTTACAGGTTGGAAATAAACACAAATTTGTACTATAAGTTAATTGTATTTTATTGAAAAAAATATTATTACAACTAAAAAACCACAAAAAAATGCCTTAAGTTTATTTAAAAAAACTAAATTATAATACAGGGTGTTTTCTTAATATTGTAAAAAATTGCAACCACATATTCTACATCAAAAAATAACACAAACAATAATCCTATAAAGCTTCGTTACGCATATACAGAGTGAATCCCATCTTAAAGAAATATTTTTATGTATTTAATTTTTTTGACAGAATTAACATTAGTACAGTCTGCTGCATTTATGCAGATTACAGCGATATAAATTCTGTTAGAGGCTAATACCAGGTGAAATATCAAAGTTTTGTAGCAATTTTGGGCTGTGTATGACACACATAAACGTACTAAACATGGTATGCATCAAGTTGCTCTCATGCGCTTGAATGAAGCAAACTAATTGAATTGAAACGAGGTTCGAACGTTGCTCCAATGTATGTTCTAATATCGACATGTTTTAGTTAGATGGTAATTATGGAAATATCAAACCAGCTGTAAATGGCACATAAACATTGTGAATGTTGAATAAATATATGAAACGTTATTAAACTTGATATTTGAAAAGTCATTCATAAAGTTCTGGTTTTGTTTAGGGCAATTGAGGTTTATGTGTACAGTTGTAAGTCATTTTATTGGAGAAAATTAACTCCACTTGCAGAAAGTATCCAATTAAATAAATTGAAACTATAAATATAAAAACTCGACTCTTAAAAGTGCAAGGTTTTCTACCTTTTTTGTACCAGCAATTTTTTATTTCCTTTGTAAAACAAGCTAAAATAATGTTGGGTTAATTGCAGCTTTGCGCATCTGTAAACTCCTATTGTTGTGTTAAATCAGACTTGAATTAAACCAAAATTCCTCTTCCAACAATATAAACTTTAATTAAATTAATAATAAATAGATTTCTGCAATATAATAGAACCTATTCACGGTGATAATTAAACGGGGGTAGGTAATATTTTACTAAATTAATTAGTGAACTTTACTAAAATTTCTTAGCTTCAATTTTTTTTAATTAAATTCGGAAAAGTGGTCACTTTTATGAAATATATTTTCTTCACTTGTTATTTATTAAAAGGTCACCTATAATAAAACCATTATCACATAGAATTATTCTCCTAAAAAGATATACCAACTTTACTTAAAATAAGGGAAAATCAATACTCAATTGCTTTATCAATAGTCATTAAGGGTAGAAATCGGATGTGCGTGTGACTTTAGA